GAAGACGCTCCGATGAGTGCCACTGCCCATGAGTGAATTTTCTCGTGTAGAATGTCAAAGTGCCGTAATACTTACGTAATGCCTACTTTAGGGTTTAACTTCTGGTATTGTTGAGTCGTCAATACGTACAATCGTACCAAACCATGAGACACAACTGATACGATGCTAAAAGAGGGAGGATACTCGAAGATGGGACTCACTTTAACTGTTATCTCATCTGATTCAATCACGACATGCAAGAGCAATCATGTGTTTGGTATTCAGCATTGATCATCACTAGAGCTGTCTTCGGAGTGAATGATATATCTCACTAGAGTGCTATCACGCTTTGACCCGATACTAAGTGACTCACTTGAAGTGAGACACAAAGTGTGACACCTTTGATAGATAAGATACTCAGTAAGTGCACAGGGCATGAACATGTTCTGGAGCGTAAGATATAAGGCGTAATACCGTAATCGAACGAGAAACGCTATCCCATAACTATGTTTGCTCGATTGTATATTGCTCGTACGAATAATGCAAAATGATAAGTTTGCTAATAACCCCAACAGAGACGCAGATTGAGCGAGCGAGCAAAACGCTAGTATATATTCCCGCAGGGCGTAAGTTACAAGAGAGCAAATAGCCAAAACATGAAAGTAGCGCAGCATTGTCACATACCGGCCACTGCCAATTTGTATATTTCATGCAGGAACATCACACAAGAGCAAACCTTGAAAGGTGCCAGATTATATTATTACAACGCGAAAAATATTAAACAGCAAATGAGCACAACTTGCCAGAATAACGAAAATGTGCGGGCGAAGCACATTTGGGCAAAAGTGCCAGGGTGTAAAACATTCCGGGGGAATATACAATGCAGCAAAAAAAGAGCAAAAAAGAGCGACTTGCTGGAAAACACTTTCGAATTTGCTACTTTCAACATTTGGTTGCTAAAACCTATACCAGAAATTGCTAGGGTGTAAATGTGGTTGCTACTTTGTAACTGAAAAAGCAGCATATACAAATGAGCAAAAAAGTGAGACTGCCAGGAATTATAGCATTTGGCAAACCCGCAACATTAGCAAAAAGTTGCGATTGCCGGATTGTATTACACCGCCTCCTCTTGCGTCTACTAGTCGAAGAGCAACTCGAGCATCTTCACGTACCCGTAGTCAGCCCCCCCCGTACTCACGCTGCTTCTTACCCGAACCTTTCCGATATCACTGACGGCGAGATCCAGCATTTTGGCGACAACGTCACTCATTCAAATGACCACAGGTCACCAGAGTCTCGCGGCTATCCTGCGACAATAACCTCGTCAATGTAAGCTTTAGTGAAGCCATCACCTTGGAAAAAGATCTCAACAGGGCCGTAGCACTTCAGGCGCTGCGCCCCCCATGAGAGTAGTACCATTCAATGGTAACCACTGGCATTCAAATACACCGGAAAAACGTCGACCGTACTCGCTGCCCAATATGTGAACCCAAACTCCAGTCTTCTGGTCCTAATAGAGGATCTCTATTGGAGGCCCTGCATACAAGCCCAGAACATCAGGACCCGTTGCCAAACGAACCAGTACACAATCTCCTTCGGAAGGAGATTGTGTACTGGTTCGTTGGTTGTGGTTGTACTGGTCCGTGGAAGGAGTCCTTCCTCTATCCTGGCATGGTCCACAATGCCCTTAACCGCCGGAGTAGCTCGGGGACGGTCTACTCCCTCAC